TAGAGGCATGTCTTTCTCCAGTATTTTATTTTCATCAAAACTACCTAAATACAGGTACTCCATTCTTGAAAGAAAATTGAAGTAGTGAAGTAGGTGATGAAGATGAGAAAATATTAGAACTTGTTGCATGGGCATTTTCTCACCATGCCCAGAATGTCCATTCTAAATTGGTTGGCATTTAACTAATTCAGTTCATTGAGAATATTTAGCACTCACAATATGTCCAGCAAAGTAATAGACACTTAGCGTTTATCCATGAACAAAATTGACAAAGATTCCTGTATCTGTGCAGCTTCTATTATAGCATAGGGAGAAAGATAACACAAATAAAAAATAAGAAAATGTTATAGTATGTTAGAAAGTAGTGAATGCCACCATGAAAAAATAAAGAACATGGTAAGGCTCAAAAATCCGCGGCAGTAGGGAACTTTGATTTCATAGAGGGTATTTATTCATTGAGGTGAAATTTAAGTGCAGCTGTAAAGAATGTATGGCAAACAGCCAGGTAAACACCTGGGAAAGAGTAGTCCATGCAGAGAGAAGAGCCCACCCAAAGACCTTAACGTGGGAGCATGTCTGGCTTTGGAGAACTCAGCAAGTAGGCCAGGACGGCAGCAGTGGGGCGAGCAAGAAGGAAGAGCAGTAGGTGATGTGGTCAGAAAGGTGAGGTGGAGGGCAGATTATGCAGGGCCTTGCAGATCATTATAGGAAATTATAGGAAGTAGTACTATAGTTGGGTTCTGAACAAAAGAGGGACTAATCTGATTCATGTTTTTAAAGGATCATTTTGTCCTGTGATGAGAATAGCAGACTGTGGAGTGCCAAGGGTAGACTGCAGGAGACGAGGTAGGGGCTACTGCAGCAACGGAGGCAAAAGTTGATAGTGGCTCAGACCGGAAATCAATGGAGGGAGTGAGAAGTAGCTGGATTCTGGATATTTATTTTAATATTAGAGCTGATTTTTTAAAAAAAATCTGATAGACTGGATGTTAAGTTAGAGATATCTCAAGAAAGACTTCAAAGTTTTTATCCCTATGAAGTGAAATGATAAGGAAGACTGTGGGAGGAGTAAATTCTGCAGCGTAAATCAGCAGGTGCCAGCTAAACATGATGATTTTGTAATGTCCACTATGAACTGAGATGGAAAGATTATGGGAAATAAAAGTTGGAGGAGAGGATCAGGGCCACAGCTTTGGACATATCAAATGTGAGATGTCTTTAGGCATCAATGTGGCAAGAAGGAACTTCTGAAGATTGTTGAGTGTGAAACTGCTAATTTGTTCGCATCAGCGTGGAACGCCTCAGAACGGGAAAGACTGGAATAGAGAAAATGATCCAGAAGGTGATTATAAACAGGGCCAGATAAGGAAAGCCAGAATTTGAATTGTCAGTAGATGTGGAAATGAGGAGAAGGACAGTGATACTGCACAAGCAGAATGTCCAGAACTTAGTGGCTGGTTAGACTTGTAGAATGAGAAAGAGATTAGAAGCCTGGGTGATGGGATGGCGGTTAGTGACATTAGTCAAACAGAAGAGATAAATCACTGAGAAAGATTT